AGGGAGCGTCCCAGTGCCTGAGGCGCTGCTTCCTCTCAGGGCTGGGCTTGAGCTCTCTGAGAGTTGTGGCAGAGCCTCAGGGGAAATGTAACTATAGGTTCAGAGCCTGGGTCAGCTCTGAGGATAGGCCCTCCCTGGGCTCCCTGGGAGCTGCCCCTCAGCCACCCCCCATGCTGGGCCCCAGGCCTAATCCAGTTTAGCAAGTGCACACTGCACAGCCCAGCTCAGCATTCCGGGAGGCAGGGTCAGGGCAGCCCCTGCCTCTCTCTGTGCGAGGCCAGTAAGGGGTTTGGAGAAGACCGGCAGTGCCAGAGGAAACCCTGGGAGTTGGGGATGGACACAAGGTAGGTGCATGGGGTTGGGGGAAGATGGGCTCTCCACAGCCCATCTGTGACCAGGGCAGCTCACCTGCTGCAGGTGATCCCGCACCCCCACTGGCAGTGGCAAAGGTCCTGGTCCAGCCATGTGATACCCTAGATATTGTGGCACAGCAGCCTCCACCCTGCCCCCTCCTTCAGGCAGCTGTGACCCTTTCTGATCTTTGTGTACCCAGCCCAGCCACATGTGTCCAGAATGAGGCCACAGCTGTCCCAGGGATTTGACTTCCTGTCCCCTTGCTGCTCCACACAAGGTGAAGGTCACACATGGCCAGGTTATCAGCCAGCAGCCCTGGCCCTGAGGGCAACGTCCTCAATGGCAGGGACGGGTGCAGGAGTGGCTGAGGCAAGGCTGGGTCCCGTGGCTTGAATGGGATTATTCCCCAACATCCTTGTTAGTAAGCATCTCTGGAGCCCAGCTCCAGTCCAGGAGGGCCACGGGATCCCACACCACCTGTGCCCTCAGGGGGCATCCAGTTGGCGATAAAGATCCAGCTTTGCAAAACGAACAATGACAGTGCTGGTCCCAGGCCCTAGGAGACTTGCAGGTGTGGCCCATGGGGACTTGAACCTCGGTCTTACACATACTGTTTTGTGGCCCTGGGCAAGTCCTTTGGCCAACGAGAACCTGCATTCCCTCCTCTGGCACGCTATTAAAATGGCTACCTCAGTGCTTATGAGGACGTCCCAGATAGCCCTGACCCAGAGTAGGTGCGTGGCATGAGGGAGGTGGGGCCAGCATCAGAACGAGCAGGGGTATTTGGGAAGGGGAGGAAGACATGATGCCTGGTGGGCCACACATGAGGGTGTGGGGAGGGATGGGACCCCAGGCAATGAGGCTGGAGAGGATTTGGGGCCAGGTCTGTGAGAGGCTGTCCGCTGTCCTGGGAAATACAGCAAACCTGCACTTACCCTTGGAAGAGAAAATGGTCATTTCTAAAGTACTTAGAGCTCATGAACATCAAGGGTAAGAGGTAGGGAGCCTAATTCATCTTCACACTACAATGCATCTTTCCCACTTTGCTTTTGCTGCTAGGAAGCCCAGCAGCCATATAGCCCCCTCTGACATGAGTTAATGGAAATTATTTACCATGAACTTTGGCTATTATTTTATACTGTTGTTTGTGGCTCTTCTACAAGGCTTGTTTTAAATGCCATAAGTTATGTGAAAGCAAAGCACCCATGTGTGTTAAAACTCACTACAATGATTGCAGGAGCTGCGGAGGGTTGGCAGGGAGTGATGGCAGTGGATACGATGGAGCAGTGCTAATGGAGAACAGGGGCAGAAGTGACAGGCCTTGTGCAACTGCCAGGCCAGTCTGGGGCGGGCAGGCAACATGCCACTGTGCAGGGTACCCACAGAATGGTAAGAACCCGGAAAACCATGAAGCACCCATCATGCGCCTCGCCCATAATAAGGCTCCGTGTGTGCCACAGCCTAGGCCTCTGCACCCTCACCCCAAGGCAGGCAGGCAAGGGGGCCGTGCCTTGTGTGGACATGACGTGGCTCTGTGGGAGGAGCATGGCTCTGGGGCAGACAGACCCAGGATTCTGTCTGCTCGCCCCTTGTTGACCTGGGCAGCCCCTTCGCCCTGGGCCTCAGTCTCAGGGGCCGCTTCAGCAAGGGGCTTCCCTGAAGCAGTGTGCCTGGTGCCCGGAGCCCACCCAGGGACATGACAGTGCTCCTCCTCCACCCACGCCAGGCCTCATGGCAAGCTTCTGACATGCACTGCGCACTGGCTCGGCAGGGCCTGGCGGGCTGCCTGGGCCAGCAGCAGAGCCAGACAGAGCCCCCACAGCATTAGGACTCCTTCCTTGGTCAGCAAACAGGTGGCAGGACCTGAGACGAACTTGACTGGGCCCTGGGACTGAGCTTAGGGCCGTGGGAAAGCGAAGATGACATGGGACACAGATCTCATGGGAATAGCTGCTCAGGGTGTACAGAGTTATGGGTTCAAGCCCTGGGTTCTGAGTCTGGGTCTGCTGCCTCCTGCTATGTGACCTCAGAGCCTCAGTTTCACCCTCTATGGAATGGGATTGGGGGGGGGGCGTTCCTGCCCACCCACCTTCCAGGACTCCTGTAATTGTCTGGAACATTTCTGAGGTGCCCAGAGTAATTTTCTTCCCCACCCCACTACCACCTCTTACACCCACTGGTGCAGACCCAGTAAAGAGATGCCCTCTAGTCAGGCCACTGGAGTAGATGGTCACTGTGTCTGCTGTCAGGGCCCCCTCCCTGAGGCCTGCAGTGGTGAGGGAGGGGTGGGGACTGAGAGCGAGGCAGAGGCCACTGCAGTACCCAGGGTGGTAAAGGTTTGGCTGCGAGTCACAAGCCAGGGAGCAGTACAGTCAAAACTAGAGCCAGGTCTCCCTGGGCCCACCCAGGCCCACCTCGGGGTCTTCAGATCGCATGGGACTCAGTAAGTGCAGTTCCACACCAGCAGGTGAGCCTTGAAGATCCGTGATTTACAAACTCAAAATAGCCCCAGACTTGTGACTACCCTGGACGCCGGCTCTCCTGTTCACAGAGCCTGTTAAGTGCATAGGGATATTGCTTTCCTTTCCTGAGAAGGTCTCTCCCCCGCAACCTATATCAGGACCCTGTCAGTATAAGTCTCTTCCCCTATGGAGAAGCAGGTTATGGTGGCTTAGGTATGGCCAGGCAGGGACATCACCGTGACCTTTCAGAGAGGATACGGAGGCCCTGAACCTGAGGTGGACTGAATGCGGGGGAGCTGCCAATAATTGAGCCTCAGTTTCCTCATCTGCCAAATAGGGATGATCCCAGTCTTCCTACCTCAAGCATTTTGCTGGGTGAGTTGAGACAGGGAGCTGTGAGCACAGGGTCTGTCAGACATTACTGCTCTGTCTCACAAACAGGAGACGGCTCAGAGGGGTTGAGTGGCTTGTGCAGAGCCCAGGCCGTCCCACTCCCAATAACATGCCCTTTTCCACTGCATTTTGCTGGTTTCCTCAGGCCTCCATTTCCACATCTTCAGAATGGGGGATGGAGGGTGGGGAGGGCAAAGATCCCTGGCCCCGCCCACTCCACGTGGGTGCTGGGTGGTGAGATGAGATGATGGAGGGACGGTGACCAGAGGAGGGCTTGTTAAAGGAGTGATGTGCCTGAGCCAGCTAAGCAGCCAGCCCTCTCAAGCCATAGGCTGGGGACCCTTTCCACTAAGCCAGGTCGGCAGGCCACCAGGGCTCGGCTCGCCACGTGGGTGGGAGAGCCAGCTGAGCCCAGGCAGATGCCTAATGCAGGGCCGCTTTCCTGAGGAGGCCAGGACACCACCCCTTGGCAGGGTGCTCACTCCTGCAGCAAACATTCCAGAGCAGCTGCTGCGTTTGGGAGATTCCGTGGGACGAAGTGAAACAGGCACAATTGCTGGAGAAGCTAACTTGCAGACATGAAATTTCAGGGGAGGGGAGTGTCTGAGAGGGCCTGGCTGAGTGAGGTCGGGAGCCTTCCCCGGGGAGAGGCCTGAGAAGTCTGAGGAGCCACGGGAGATAGAGGGCAGATGAAGGCACGAGCACGGGGTGCCATGGTGATGCTGGTGGTAGCCCCCAAAGGAGTGTCTGTGGAGTCTCCACCTCACCTCCGTGGCTCCTCCCAACAGCCGTACAAGATAGTGCTTCATTGTCTCTGTGTCACAGATGAGGGGCCATGTGCCTCTCTCTCTCTCTAGGAAAGCCTGTCTCTAACCCTTGGGGTCAGATAGCATGTGATGTGTGTGGAGCAAGGAGTGGGAAGGGCATGCCGGGGAGGGACAGCCAGGACCAATAACGCAGGCTGGACCAAGGAAACCTATCCCTTCCTACCCAGTTAAGGAGTCCAGAAAGGGCACATCCTGGGGCCCCTGGCTTGGACCTCACTGCCTTCCAGGGACAGCTGAGGTCTCAGCCCTCCTCTCCACTGTGATGACAGGGGCAGAACAGCCAATCCCTGCTTCATAAGAGGGTGGTGGAGCCACTTATGGACTTGGGAAGCTGAAAAGGATCTGGATGTCAGAGTAGGCCACAAGTTTGAAGAGGAAGCCTTAAAAGCAGAGTTATGTGATATACAGGCGTTGAGGTAACTTGGTAGGAAGTTCCAGTCCCAGTTCTCTGCCAGACAAGACCCATTACCTCTCTAAGCCAGGCAGTCTAGCAGAATATGGCTTTCCTTCCTTCTGTGTCAAAGCCAGGGATTGGCCTAAGCTGCCAGGGGTACCTTGGGTCCCTGTGGGACTGTGCTCGTGACAGACCTCAGGTCCAGCACGCAGTGAAGATGGGGTAGCTGAGAGTTCGGGCCCCAGCTGTGATGAAACGCCAGCATCCCCAGCTGCTGCTGGCGAGGCAGCCTCAGCCAGAGAACCGTGTGTGTGGTGCTTTCAAATGACATTGTGTCTGTGTGACACTGACCAGAGCAGGCCCTACGCTGGCTCTGAGAAAGCCAGAGCCTTTGTGTCCCCACGGAGGCCAATGGGGACAAGCGGAGGTGTTTCTGACCACCCGGTGAAGGGAGAGGGAGGAGAGATGGCACTCCAGGGTCTTCCTCACTGCCCTTTGGGAGCTGGGGGGTGGAGGCGGACAGGCCCCTGCCCCAGGCCCAGTGCTCACAGGCCACGACTCCCTCCCCAGGCCTGCAGGGACTTCCTGGAACTAGCAGAGACACACAGCCGGAAATGGCAGCGTGCGCTGCAGTATGAGCAAGAGCAGCGCGTCCACCTGGAGGAGACCATCGAGCAGCTGGCCAAGCAGCACAACAGCCTCGAGCGGGCCTTCCGCAGTGCCCCTGGCCGGGCCGCCAACCCCACCAAAAGCTTCAGCGAGGGTGAGTGGGCCAGGCCCGCCGGCCTCCGTCCATCCAGCCGTCGCTCTGTCCATTGTGCCCTCAGCCTCCCCCTTGGCCAGCTGGCTCTGCTTACACGGCCCCCAGTACATGTATGCTTTCACATGCCCACGTCGGAGCTTATCTTGGCCTCTTCATGGCTTTGTATGTCCCATGCCTGCCACCGACTGGCAAGTCTCCCTGTGTATCTAGGTTCCAATTCTCAAGACAAGTGCAGTGAGCCCAGCTGTCCCCTCTGTGGCAGGGCTGCCAGGTGACCTCCTTAGACGGGGTCATGAGTACCCTGAGAAGGGGTTCTCAGAAAGGGCAACTGGGCCACAGGCAGACTGACCAGCATGTTGAAAGATCAGGGAGGTTTCCAGAAGGAAAGAGGCCTCTGAGCCACAGCACTGACAGGAAAGCACATTCCAGAAAAGCAAGTTCTGTGGCTGAGGGAAGCCACAGCCAGGGTAATGAGGACCAGGTAATGGATGAAGTGGGGAGGGGCCTGGGGGGGGGG